ACAATTATAATAATATAAAAAATTTATTCAAAGTATCCTCTCATTTTTAAAATGTCAAATTCAGTAACTTTCATGAGTAGTATAATGAGTAATCAAAATCACAGATGAAGTCATTTCCGGAAAGATGGCTCTGACTTCAGTTTGTCGTTTGGTGCTTGGCAACGTTAGATCGGGTACGTCGAGTGCTCTTGTTGCTGGTTGTAGGTCAGCTGCATTTTCCTTGTCATCAAATTTAATTAATAAATCCGGTAAAATGGGTTTACCAAGAGTATATTTTGATATGGCCGTAGATGGACAACCATTCGGAAGAATTATTATCGAGGTAAGCTTTAAATTGATTCTAATACTACCGAAATAGCTTACGAATGCCGGGTTCATCCACCATGCCGGATTGGAAATTTACCGGCTACTTGATATGGATAGGTGTAATTGTGCGTTATAAACATTGTGCAGCGTCTTAAATTATGTTATTTATTTGATTTGTACATATTTTTAAAACAGAAAGGTTTTGTTTGAATAGTCGTTTGCTTGCGAAATATTTAAGGTAGGCAGTGGCGTATCATTTGTACATTGAAATGGGATCATTTAAAAATTCAATTGTTTTAAGGAACATCTTTATAAAACCATTACGTAAATTAGTCAATAGAAAATAGTCTGTATGTATTTTGTCATTTCAATCTGCAAGGTCATCTTCAAAATGAAAATCTGTACTGTGGTTGTTTTTAATCAGTTGTGGTATATGTTTATCTTGTTGACTTAGCAACTGTTAAAATTTTACTTATTTATGTATTTTTTATAAATTTCAATTGGCAAGGTCTCTGTACTATGGGTTTTACGATCAATTGGGGGTATAGTTAATTATTTATCTTCTTGACTTAAGCAACTGATTAATTCTTAACATGTTATGTTTAGAAGAAAAAACATTGACGGTTAATTTTCAATTTTATGATATATTATTTAACTTTTAGCTGAGGAGCGATGTTGTTCCAAAAACTGCGGAAAACTTCAGGGCGCTTTGCACAGGCGAAAAAGGCTTCGGTTACAAAGGTTCCACTTTCCACAGAGTAATTCCCAACTTCATGTGCCAAGGTGGTGACTTTACAAACCATAACGGCACTGGCGGAAAATCCATTTATGGACAGAAGTTTGCTGATGAAAACTTTACTTTAAAACATACTGGCCCTGGAGTCATGTCAATGGCTAATGCTGGACCTGATACCAATGGTTCCCAGTTCTTTATAACCACCGTCAAAACCTCCTGGCTAGACAATAGACACGTCGTTTTTGGAAGTGTCGTCGAGGGCATGGATGTAGTGAAGAAAATTGAAGCTCTTGGTTCTCAGTCAGGCAAAACTTCCAAAAAGATTACTGTTGCAGATTGCGGTCAATTATAAGTGTTTTATTCAAATATTTCGAGCTTTGCCGTTTTTTCAATTT